TGACATCGTTCAAACTTGTTCAAAACTTCGGAACGCTCACAACAACATCAAATCACCAATTTAACACAAGATTCAAGCCTAAGAACTCCAAGAACTCTTAAATTATGCTTTGATCAAAAAGTCTATCAAATCTCGTCTGAATGACTTGAAATTTTGCACACATATCCCAAATGACACAACAGAAATACTGCAACTTTTAAAATTTCATTCTGACCTGGCCCATGTCTCGAAATTGGGTAAAATTTATATTTACAGAATCCTCATACCCTCACGAGTCTAACCATACCAAAATTATCCAATTCTGATCCATTTGGTCCTTCAAATCATCATTTTATATTTTTGGAAGATTCCACAACTTTTCTTCCCAAATTCCATCCCAACTTACGAATTAAATAATGAATTCAATGGTAGATTCATGTGTTCTAGCCAAATCTGAGTTAGAATAACTTACCCCTATAAATTTCTTGAAAAACCTTTGAATGATCGCCAAAATTCGAGCTCTCTAGGTCAAAATATTAAATAAAACCCAAAACCTCATATTTATAGAGTACCCCATAGATTTCCACCTCTGCGGACCGCACAAAAATGACCGCGGACCACACAAAACCAGTGCGGTCCACACAAAAACGACTGCGGCCGCACAAGTTTTCATCTACAGTGATAGGCTTTAGTATTTTGGCCATAACTTTTGCTACATATGTCCAAATTGCGATATCCTTACTTTTCTGTAAACTAGCCACGAAGGTCTACAACTTTTATTTTTGTATCAGCTCAAAATTCCTTGTAGATCAAAAGATATGAGCTTCCAAAGTAGGACCAGTGAAATGTTCCCCACCGCTGCCGCACTGCATTTTGTGTGGTCCACACAGCACCTACCGTGACCGCACTTCATTTTGTGCGGACCGCGCTGGTGGGTTCCGAGACCTGCAACCTTTCTGGAACTGCTACAGCTATAATTTTCAGCCTAAAACATCCCGGAACCCCCAGGAACTTCAAACCAATTGTACCAACACATCCCATGACATCGTTCAAACTTGTTCAAAACTTCGGAACGCTCACAACAACATCAAATCACCAATTTAACACAGGATTCAAGCCTAAGAACTCCAAGAATTCTTAAATTATGCTTTGATCAAAAAGTCTATCAAATCTCGTCTGAATGACCTGAAATTTTGCACACACATCCCAAATGACACAACAGAAATACTGCAACTTTCGAAATTTCATTCTGACCTGGCCCATGTCTCGAAATCGGGTAAAATTTATATTTACAGAATCCTCATACCCTCACGAGTCTAACCATACCAAAATTATCCAATTCTTGTACCATTTGGTCATTCAAATCATCATTTTATATTTTTGGAAGATTCCACAACTTTTCTTCCCAAATTCCATCCCAACTCACGAATTAAATAATGAATTCAATGATAGATTCATATGTTCTAGCCAAATCTGAGTTAAAATAACTTACCGCTATAAATTTCGTGAAAAACCTTCGAAAGATCGCCAAAATCCGAGCTCTCTAGGTTAAAATATTAAAAAAAAAAAACAAAACCTCGTATTTATAGAGTACCCCATAGATTTCCACCTCTGCAGACCGCACAAAAATGATCACGGTCCGCACAAAGCCGGTGCGGTTCGCACAAAAATGACTGCGGCCGCACAGGTTTTCATTTACAGTGAAAGGGTTTAGTATTTTGGCCATAACTTTCGCTACTGATGTCCAAATTGTTATATCTTTACCTTTCTTATAACTAGACATGGAGGGCTACAACTTTCGTTTTTAAATCATCTCAAAATTCCTTGTAGATCAAAAGATATGAGCTTCCGAAGTAGGACCAGTGAAATATTCCCCACCGCGGCCGCACAACATCTTGTGCGGTCCGCACAACACCTTCCGCGGCCGCACTTCATTTTGTGCGGACCGCGCTGGTGGGTTCCAAGACCTGCAACCCTTCTGGACCTGCTACAGCTATGATTTTTGTCCTAAAACATCCCGGAACCTACTCGGAACCCCCCGAAACTTCAAACCAATTATACCAACACATCCCATGGCATTGTTCAAACTTGTTCAATACTTCGGAACGCTCACAACAACATTAAATCACCAATTTAACACAGGATTCAAGCCTAAGAACTCTTAAATTATGCTTTCGATCAAAAAGTCTATCAAATCTCATCCGAATGACCTGAAATTTTGCACACACATCCCAAATGACACAACGGAAATACTTCAACTTCCGGAATTTCATTCCAACCTGGCCCATATCTCGGAATTGGGTAAAAATTACATTTTCAGAATCCTCATACTTCACGAGTCTAACCATACCAAAATTATCCAATTCCGGTACCATTTGGTCATTCAAATCATCATTTTATATTTTTGGAAGATTCCACAACTTTTCTTCCCAAATTACATCCCAACTCACAACTTAAATGATGAATTCAATGATAGATTCATATATTCTAGCCAAATCTGAGTTAGAATCACTTACCCCGATTAATTTATTGAAAAACCTTTGAAAGATCGCCAAAATCCGAGCTCTCTAGGTCAAAATATTAAATAAAACACAAAACCTCGTATTTATAGAGTACCCCATAGATTTCCACCTCTGCAGACCGCACAAAACGACCGCGGTCCGCACAAAACCAGTGCGGTCCGCACAAAAACGACTGCGGTCGCACAAGTTTCATTTGCAGTGAAAGGCTTTAGTATTTTGGCCATAACTTTGCTAGAGATGTCTAAATTGCGATATCTTTACCTTTCTTGAAACTAGACACGAAGGGCTTCAACTTTCGTTTTTGAATCATCTCAAAATTCCTTGTAGATCAAAAGATATGAGCTTCTGAATTAGGACCAGTGAATTATTCCACACTGCGGCCGCACTGTATCTTGTGCGGTCTGCACAACACCTACCGCGGCCGCACTTCATTTTGTGCAGACCGCGCTGGTAGGTTCCAAGGCCTGCAACCCTTCTGGACCTGCTACAGCTATGATTTTTGGCCTAAAACATCCCGGAACATACTCGGAACCCCCCAAACCTCAAACCAATTGTACCAACACATCCCATGGCATTGTTCAAACTTGTTCAATACTTCGGAACGCTCACAACAACATCAAATCACCAATTTAACACAGGATTCAAGCCTAAGAACTCTTAAATATGCTTTCGATCAAAAAGTCTATCAAATCTCGTCTGAATGACCTGAAATTTTACACACACATCCCAAATGACATAATGGAAATACTGCAACTTCCGGAATTTCATTCCGACCTCTATATCAAAATCTGACCTACCAACCAAAAAACGCCGAAATCTCAATTTCGCCAATTCAAGCCTAAACCTTCCACGGACTTCCAAAATGCATTCCGATCATGCTCCTACGTCCTAAATCACCTAACGGAGCTAACCAAATAATATAAATCCCGATCCGATATCATACACAAAGAAGTCAAACCTTTCAAATTTTAAGTTTCAAACTGAGGACTGTTCTTCCAAATTTCATGTCGATTACCCTGAAAACCAAAACCAACGATTTACATAAGTCATAATACACCACACGGGGCAAGTCATGCCCGAGAACTGGCGGTCAAAGTGCAAAAGCTCAAAACGACCGGTCGGGTCGTTACATCCTCCCTCACTTAAACATACGTTCGTCCTCGAACGTGCCCAAAGTTGTTTTAAAAGCCAATCAATCGCTGAATAACCTCACCATGAACATACCCGGGGGTGATCCCACGTCACCCTATTTCACATAGGTTCGATAACATAATATAACTGAAATTTCACAATCCATCCTAGTCCATAAATCATAGAACCACATTTTTGCTTCTAATATCCTTAATATGATCGGAATCTCACATTTATACTATGAATAAGTCCAAACAAGCTGTCATAAACCATATCTGCTATCTCAGGTGCAATCACATGATATACCACATAAATCAAACACTCACAGCAATAACTTCTAATCACAGCAGCTGCACATAACAACTGAATACCGATAGAAAACCTCTTATTAACTAAAGTCTCATTCCCGCACTTTCATATACTGCCAATGATAAATAAACCACACAGTGAGCCATAACTATTTCTCAGATCAACCATTCATGAAGCCACTTCTCCTTTGGAAAAGTCCATAGCAATTTTCCTGAGCCGAAGCTTGATATTATCCTTCCAACATGTTGAAATCAAATCCGTTTGTATTCATTAATGATCCCAACGATCTCATCTAATCCAACATACTACTCTGGTGACATGACACATCAATACAGGCCTAAGCCACCACTTGCACAATACGTGCACCAATAAGCAACAGTCCGAACATACTCAAATCATGAAAATGACTCAAATGAAAGAGCTATACATCAAGCTCACCAGTACCACCACAACACAAGGCTGAGAACTCGTCTCACATCATCGGAATAGAACACACGAATCTAACCCGCAAGGTCACTATGCTCGAAATCGACAACCACGCGCAATTTGATGTTTGGAACCAAAGCAAATCATCATACCCACGGTGAAACCAATAACATACATCACACAACCGAAAGGACATAACCAATACGCCATTCATTGAGCTACACCCAATTACTCTCCCCGCTCGACTTCCACTATGAAACTCCGATAGAACCGCACCATAAGTGCCCATAACCAACAGATCATAACACCTCGCAACACAGAAATGCAGCTCATAGATCTCCCCAGATTACTAATAAGCTTAATAACAATCGAATCAACACATCCCTCGACAATACAACTTGGAGCCAACCACTCTGAACCCAATATCACATCCAAAATCTAGCATACCAAGCAACAAAAGATCCGCTCGGGTCTCCAAACCCCGATAGTCACTAAACAGTGCCAATACACGCGACCCACAACCACAACATAGCCTGAACATGAGAACTCTCTATCTCCAACTCCATATAGCATACAAATCACCACACCTGATCCCAATCATTCCACGAGAGATACTCTAAAATTCTTTCGTACCACCAAACACTCGAATATCAGCAGTCAATCTAACAAGAAAGCGCTGCAATACTACCAAAGTACCATCAACTGCACCATATTGCCTTTTCTGAAACATATACCCTCGTCAAATCACTTCAATTAGCAATACCATTTCCTTAACCATCTGAAGATCATCCCACTAATCATCCAAAGCTCCTTCATCTAATCATCTGAAACTGCCAGTGCTGCCTAAAAATTGCTTTTTGATTTTCCGTTCAATACTGAACCGTAACCTTCTACCCGCAAATTTCAATCCTCGACAACATACCGAATATACCATACCATCCTAGGATAACCTGAGAACTTCATCTTCCTTCCGAGCCACAAACACCTACGTACTCAACTAGTCAAGGACTTTCCATTGGTTCTACCTAGAAGAAAATCACTATACATCCCATGCTCCTCATGCCACAGAAAATATACTTCCCCAATAGAGGTAGAAACCATCAAGAACTCTCCAAGTTCCCCTTGCACAAACCAAACCTGCCAGGACTGAATCCTTCTAATTTGACCAAGCTATACAAGCCATCAAAACCTAAGAGCATTACCGCGAAATACCTGTAGGAACTCATTACCCCGTACACACCCAAGAAACTAATCATATCCTTACCAACTGATCCGGCCTACTACCAAGCTATCCCATCTATCCGAGTTTCCTTCTGATTTATCTTCAACTTGATATTCCCTCTTGTTGTAGCACCACAACTCCTCAGCCCTGACTTACCACACGAGTCCCATGCATAAAATCACACTGTCTAAGGCTCATAAGCTGCTGAATACTCTCTTAAATATTCCCAAAAGTACCACATTCAAAATACTTTACTCTCAAGAACTTCCTGTGAATTTACCTCCGGTACCTTTACCTTCCTGATACTGATGAATACCATAATTAATATAGAAAATACCACAAGTCTTGATATCTTCCCATGAAAACTCAGTTTCTAACCACATATACACTTTAAAATGCCCAATTGTATGTAGAATCTTGAATACATTAGAACCATTCTCGAGAGTCATTCACTCTATTCAAATTGCAATCAGCCTGATCAAACAAACAGAACCACTCGTGCCTTACTAGCACTCCGACACCGCAGAGTGTGGCATCATTCTATAACAACCAAGCAACTTCCTGCTCTATGCACCGAGCATCCTTTACTAACAACGACTCAAGACATGCCGAGATTTTCACACACACATGAAGCATACTATAACCTTTGTTGAGAATTTTCCTTTACTCAAGCCATCCTCGGTCTCAATCTCCATAGGCCATAACTGATTCACCTGAATGCCTCAAACTGGAACTGACATAGCACATAACTGTGTAAATCTCAAATCCTTATGCCTTAATACCATATACTCCCCCACTTGCATATACTCTATTTATGCCTTAATACCATAGTGATATTAAACTCAAATCCTTTGTAAGCTTGTGAGAACACAGATCATCTAGTACTTTAAATCTTCTGCAAATCTCGCATTCACTCTCGCAACAGCTAAGCCCACTCTCTTAAGCGACCCAAAATTCAAATTTCCACACTTATATTTCACTTGTACCTAAGATCTTCTAACGGACACATAAGGATCACACAACCTTAGAACACTTCGCAAGAGATAGCCCACCTGTTTTGCCTTCAATTTCATTTCTGAAATTTCATTCACTCACAACTGGGAAACATAAAAAGATTCTTCACATGCCTATAACTCGGGGCTATACCTCGAATCAAGATGGACTCCAAGCGACTAATTGTTCTTCTACCCTCCAGCAGACCCTTCTCGTCGCTTCTAATTCGTACGGATACATCTCGCAGTTATAACATACTCATCATGGAACCATCCAGCCATCACTTCTACTAATAGGGGCACTATCGAATATATAAGTTCAAAAACACGTGCGCACACAATTAGCACCTCGGTGCTCAAACTATAGGCAAAAATCCAGCCTCAAGTCCTCCAGACTGGCCAAACATCAACTCATAGAGATCACATCTCGTCCCTCGATCAGGGAATCACCAACCATCAATGCACATCTGATACTACGCGCTCATGCGCGCATACAAATGCATGGAAAGAATTCAAAGAATTATATTTCAAGCTGGATCAAGGACGCATGATAAGAATTCAAGAATGTGAAGTTTTTCCTGAAGGTTCTGCAGCCTCTCGAGGATAAATACAGATGTCTCCATACCGATCCGCGAGACTCTACTAACCCTGCTCATGACTCGTGAGACCTATGTAACCTAGCGTTTAATACCAACTTGTCACGACCCCATGGAGCCTCTCGTAAAGACAAAGCCAGCCGACACAACACCCATATTAATCTCTTAATTATTAAGAATTATTTTTAAACCTTTAATTAAACAATATCTCATAACATAAGCTGAATGAATAGTGCGGAAATAACATACAAGCCCGACATCAAGGTGTCACTAGCCATGAGCATCTACCAAGGTCTGAATACTACAAAAACAGTCAAAATGTACTAAGTACAGGAATGAAATGAGAGTAATGAAGCAGTAATGCGAAAGTCGTGCAGCCACCTTGCTAACCATGATGACTCCGCGCCTAAGCATCCAACACCCGCTACCGGGTTTCGAAATACCTGAATTTGCATACGAGGTGCAGGGAGTAATGTGAATACTCCAACCCAGTAGGTAATAAGAGTAAATAAAGACTGAGCAGTAGGTGTAAGCACATGATTTTTGCCCTATGAAAGAATTACTCCCAAAAATTCAAAATAAAATGATTTTCCTTGGTGTGCAATTTTGAGAATTTTTGTGACATTTTTTGGATAATTATTTGTATTTGTCTATGCATGTTTATTTGTTAAATTAATAAAAAATACAAAAATATGTCGCATTTTGCATGTAGGATTTAATTCTACAATTGTTAATAATTAAGTTTGTTTTACAAAAATTGAAAATTACAAAAATAGGTATTTTTTGCATTTTTAGCATTTAATGTCCAAATGTACAATTTTATGCTTAATTATTTCTTAATTGTGCGTTAATTGTTATTGGGAGTTAATTTGCGCTTTTATAACTTAATAATAATTTAAGGATTTTTAGAATTTAGTTTTAGAAAAATAATAGAAGAAAAGAGAGCAAAAATATAAAGAAAATCGGAATTGTGTTCTTCTTCAAATTCAAGCCACAAGCCCAAAGAATACCCAACCTTCCCTATGACCCGGTCCATTTCAAATCGGGTTGACCCGGTCCATAACCCAAAGACCCAACACCCCCTATCTTGCATTTCACAAAACAAAACAAAAAAAAACCCCAAAACCTAAACTAAACCCATCCGCCACTCCCTCTCTTCTTCTCCAAAAAACCTTCACCCCAAACCCTAGCCAACCATGGTTGCTCACCCTCAAGCTCACTCCAAACATCCCCTCCCTCGTCCGCCATTGAAGGCCAAACGACCCCATTACTGGCATCTTCTTCTTCGACCAGCTACTGCCCCGAGCTTCATTTTCATCGACGAGCTCGTCAAGCTCGTCATGGCTGCTGCATTGCTGCATCGCCTCCTCCATCTCTCACTCCTGCTTTTGTTACGTCCAAACAGCCCCCATGACTACCTCCTTCACCTCCCCAGTTTCCTCGTCGAGCTTGAGCCTGAGCTCCCATGGCTGCTGGTCACTGCGTCTTCGTTTTCTCCATGGCGAGCTCAGGCTCGTCCATGGACTGCCCTCAACTGCCATCTCCGAGCTCCAACCATGGACGAGGGGGTTTTGCTTTATTTGTTCGCCATTCAAATGACCAGCTCCACCAACAAACCTTCTGCTGAGTTGCCGCTGCCTTAGCCCCGTCCAGCTGCCGCTGTTGCTGTTCTATTTTTTCAGCTTCGCCTCCTTCATTACTAAGCGGCCATTTTCCAGCATCTCCTTCTTCCCGTTTCTACTGTACGAAATGGTAACTGTAGCAGCTGTGATCCAGAGAAAAATTACGAAAGTCACTTGAGGATGAAGTACGTCGGTTGACTCAAACAGTTGGGCAAACGGAAGGGGTTAAACGTGAAAAGGAGGAGCAGGTTGCTCGTTGTGAAACTTTTATTGATGGAAGGGAATCCAAGCTAGAGGCTATCATAAGCTTAACGAATCGGAGGCGGTTAATAATCATCTCTCAAGTCTGAAATGAGGACTTAGATGGATTGGTTTTCTCGGGAAGGAAAGGAACTCGCAGAACAGATACAAGAAGTCGAGAATCAGTGTCGAGCACGCCGAGGTTCCGTTCGAATCCGGGCTTCAAACTAGTAGGTTTTCATTTTTCTTGTCTCTTAGTTTTCATTCAGTGAATTCATCTTCCATTCCTTTTCTTCTTGTGTTTGTGTTCCGGTAGTGTGGTTCGAATTCGAACCTGGGTCTTTGTTTGTAGTAGAGATAATTTGTGTTCATTTTATTTGAAGTTTGTTAGATTTTCGTCAAGTGATTTGATGTCGTCAAGTGATTTGATGTCGTCAAATTATAATGTTGTTAGATCTAATTTAAAGTTCAATTGATGCATTGAATTTAGTAATTTGAATCTATTTGCTTGTTATGATCAGTTGTTATTTTTGCTAAATCTGAAAGTAAGAGTGTTGTTAAAAAATTGTTCAGTCAAAATAATTCTTGTTTTTGTTGTTCATCATATGATTTCAGTTTGCATTTCGTTTCCATTAATTGTGATTCATGTTGTTCCAGTTTATTTTGTTGTTAATATTGTTGTTTCCTTGCTCATCCATTTTTGATTTAAGTTAACCAGGATTGGTTCCCAATATGGTTAATTTATTCCCATTAATTCGATGATTGTTGTTCAATATGTGTTCATGGGATTCGTTGTTGAAATTGTTTAGAAATTGGTCATATTTGCTGTATTTTGGTTGAAATTGATTAGGTGATTGGTTATAGCTGATGGGGGTAGTTTGGTAAATTTCAGTACGTTGAGGGGTAAAATGGTAATTGCAGTAAGGTCGGAGGGGTATTTTTGGAATTGAACATTTGAACAATTATTCAAGTTAAGCATGAGGGACAAGATGTAATGGGATGGGGTTGATATAATTGTTTAATATAATGGGGGACAAGACATAATGTAGTGGGTGAGAATAATGTAATTATTTATTTTAAGCATGAGGGACAAGATGTAATGGGTTGAGGTTTGATATAATTGTTTAATATAGTGGGGGACAAGACATAATGTAGTGGAGTGGGAATAATGTAATTATTTATGTTAAGCATGGGGGACAAAGGTTTAAAATAAAGAAAACATTAAGTAGTGGGGACAAAGCATGCAATTCGGGGAATATTCGGGTTTGGGGATTCAAGACAAGAGTCTTGTTATAAATAGAGTCATTTGACACATTTTAAAGAACGAAGACTGGAGAGAAAAAACTTAGACTAAACTTGAAAGATTTTTGAGGATTATTTTGAGAAAGGAAGACATTCCGAAAATCCCAAGAGTGTTAGAGAGTTTAAAAAAAAGAAAACAAAAACAAAGGGAGAAGCGAATTTAGTTTTGGGTTTAATACACGCGTGGTTTGTTGTTGTTTAGTTTGCTTACAAACTTTTGGGTTTATTCTATTGAGTTGTTCGGTTTTTTCTCAAAGTTTTCTGGGCCTTGAATCTGATTCGAATTTGTTGCTGTTGGGTTGTTGTTGTTGCTGTATATTTACACTACTACTGCTTCTACTGATCTTCATCTTCTTTCCTTGCTTTCCCAAATACCAGGTACACAAACTGATACACTGGTTCATCTTGTAAGCCAAGAAGCAGGTGCCGCCCAAAAGGGAAAGAAATACGTGAATGCAAGAAACAACTTTGCAATAAGGAATCAACCCAAAAGGGATGTTTCCCCAAAATTCTCCTGCATTTTACTAAACAAAAATGAAAAAATAATAAAAAATAAAAACAAGACAAAAAAGGAAGTAAGAAGAAAACTCAAAAAAAGAGGGTTAGTTAGAATCCCCAACATTTGCTTTTAGCCGACATTAGGGCTCCAATTCCTGAGTTGAGTGCTTTTCCTTTAGCCAACATTAGGGCTCCAATCCCCGAGTTGAGCAATTTCCATTTAGCCAGCATTAGGGCTCCAATCCCTGAGTTGAGCATTTTTCCTGTTAGCCGACATTAGGGCTCCAATCCCTGAGTTGAGCATTTTTCCTTTAAGCCATCATTAGGGCTCCAATCCCTGAGTTGAGCAATTTCCATTTAGGCAGCATTAGGGCTCCAATCCCTGAGTTGAGCAATTTTCTTTTAGCCGACATTAGAGCTCCAATCCCTGAGTTGAACAGTTTTTTTTAGCCAGCATTAGGGCTCCAATCCCTGAGTTGAGCAGTTTTTCTTTTAGCCAACATTAGGGCTCCAATCCCTGAGTTGAGCGATTTGCTGTTAGCCGACATTAGGGCTCCAATCCCTGAGTTGAGCAATTTTCTGTAAGCCAGCATTAGGGCTCCAATCCCTGAGTTGAGC